CTGAGGGAGCAGCACACCACACACATCACTACCAGGCAGCCCCCACAGCAGCATACACAGCAATGTTTTCAGTTGGCAGAGCAAATGACTATAGTCTTAGTCTCACTCATGCATATGCCACTACCTTGTATCCCTTAGTCCCAACCTCTTTACACTAAGGTCATCACTGAAGTTCTGTCCACATACAGAGCAAACATTGTGGAATGGTGCTTCCGACCATAACATCGATAGGTAAGGACTTACCTGCCACCGACGGGCAAAAGTGACCTTCTCGCCGTCCATAGAGGGCGACACGAGCACGCTCGTCTTCTCGCACTCCAGCTGAGTCATGTAGCTCCCACCTGCACGGAACAGTGATGCCTTTAGATCAGTCGCTGAGCCGGCCTACTGCTGATGGCACCCCGGTATCACAGTGACTGCACAGACAGACGTCGAACACCCCCGGACATGTGGTCATTGTGTTCGCATCCTACCGACAGACGGTCGCATCACAGCAGCGGTCCCTTGAGTCTGGAGCGGCTCGCACCGTTGTTCTCGATGATCTTCCTGATGGCCTCCTTGTCCTTCCTGCTGAGCTGGCTGACGCAGATGAAGAGCCTTGGAAGGGCGGGCACGTGAGGTCGGCGAACTGCGGGTCGGTGGCCTGCACGGTCTGTCGGCAGCTGGCCTCCCAGACCCGGTCCACCCAGGCTGCGCGCATCACCGGCACCTCACGCGTTACCGCCACCTGCCGGACCATCGCACAAACACACGCTTTCGACGATCGTCGCCCGGATGAGATTGGCAGCAGCAGTGCTGTTCAGTGCTCAGTGTCCAATACAGAACCTATGCGAGGGTTCACGAACGCAAAATGCCCACGAAAGACTATCATTACATTTCGCTTGGCATTGACCCGTAAAAGGGAGTGCCATGAACCTGAGTGCGAACCAGTCCATAGCATTCACCGATCGCGGCACATTTAACCTCGCTGCCTACGATGGTCCGGGCTGCGGGCCGTTCTGAGACCGAACGCGACCATGCGCAGCTCCGCCCGGCCGGGGCCCGGCACGGCGCACCTGGTACTTGGGGCTGGCGACGACACCGGCTACCAGGTGCGTGACGCCCTCGTGGAAGTCGCTCGAGTACACGCCCGACATCAGCTTGACCAGCCGTTGCAGCCGGGTCTGACAACAGACGGAGCACGTGAGCGCCGGCACACGCGCCGACTGGCCGCCCACCAGCTGACGGGCCGGGGGACCGCTACCGCGGAGAGCACTCTGCATCGCCTAAGTGACACGATTCTTTCCGCTGGCACTGCGGGGAGGACGTGGGTCCGCCTCGAGCTGACTCACCTTTTCCAGCTTCTGGAAGCCGGTGGAGGTGATGACCAGCCCCGCATGGCGGCGGCGTACCAGCGGGTAGGGCAGCTCGGGTACCGGCTCACTGCGGCTGAGGCAGGCCAGCAGGCAGGGCGGCCCCAGCACTCTGCTGAACACCGACCACAAACGTGTCACCGGCTGACAGGAGCAGATGGAGAAGCACCCAGCTGAATACTACCACTACCCGCTGACGTGCTGAATGGACGCACCTTAGTGTGATCTTAAGATTTTTAGAGCAGCTGTTGCAACCGGACACATGCTTTACCAGTCGGCGACTGATAGCGAGCGCCTAAAGCAAATCAAACCTACCCCGCAAGAGCCGGACAAATAGGAAGGCCCTCATCAAGTGGGCCATGAGACGGACTAATTCATGATCAAAACATAACGAACATCGTTGAAATATGCAGTTTTCCAATGTGCACAAATAACTTACACACACTTAAATTTGCCTGAAGACAAATATTCAAATGCCACGCCTTCAAATGGGTCGCAGATGAATACGTCTTGCCTTGACAGGATGCTTCTGAAGAACATCTTCCTCCTTAATCCAGTTGCATGGGAATCCAATGTCCAAACAGGCCTGTGGGTTCAAGAACCAGCAGCTATAGTCAGATGGACTCCTAACAGCCAAGCTGATATGGTAAAGAATAAGGCACGATCTTAAATATCTGAAAATAGTGAATGACGGGATTTTCATGGTGTAACCCGGCATTGACAGGGCTCCTCACCGGCACATCACTGACAGGAGGGGCAGATTCCCCCCCCCCCCCCATGCTTCCGAATTAAAAAATTCAGATAGCAATCGATAGCGCCGTGGCGTGCGGTCTCAGACTACACATCAAACTTAAGTTCACGTGTGTATCAAAGTCTAAGGTCAAGGTCAAATTCTAAAAACAGCTTATTTGGAATAAATGACCTCTCCCACCACACATTTCATTTAGAAGTGTAGCTTAACGTGTGCAATCATTGCACCCTGATCAAACATGCCTCATAGGAAGGTCTCCATTGTCACGTGCACCATACCGGACCTCGAGCCAAGGTCCTGTGCAGTGCAAATAAGAGCCGAGACCTTTGTCTGCATATCTATTTTCATCTATTTGTTCCCGTCATATCTAAACCATCTGAAGGCGAGGTGGAAAAGCTTAGCCGGAATTATGGGTATGCAACACGTGAGCAAGGGCTGATATTCGTTCGTAAAACGTCTAAGGTCAAGGTTAAATGGACGACCTCGGTGGTGAATAGGCGGTTGAATCGGTTTTTGAGTTGTTTTTGACAGCTCAGTGCTGCAAACGGCGCAATCTGATATCCATCAGCCCGGCTGCCAGTCACACAGTAGCCGGTTTGCGTGTGCACCTGATAAATGGCTTGCGCCGTACCATCACCGAGTCACCGCTGCTGATCTGACTCCCAACGCCAGCTAGGGTGGGCTAGGGCAACATATGATACACATCATTGTCTGAAACTTGGCACAGACATCCTTCATAGTCATATCTAGGACACATTTTCCGTTTTCATCATTCTTGACGAGACCAAAAAATGTTTATGGTACTTTCATCACCATTTTTCTGATTTGGGTGCCAATATTTCAAAGCACAAAACTGTAACAACACAATGACAAGGCATGTGCATTCCATGTGCTAATTGGCTTCCATTTCCCATCGACAAATGTAAGATATGTTCTTTCATTCAACTTTTGTGTTGATTTGCCCACAACTTTGCTCTTTTATTAAAAATGGCCAACATGACACCACTCTGATGTCACTCACTCTTGACCTAATATGACCTTATAGTTCTTTATTTCAGCAGAAGACATAGACCTCATTAACTGACAGCCACTGATAATTTTGCAGCGATATCTCAAGGCACTTTGGAATCATGATGACTATTGGACAGGGGGGGGAGCAGATTTGACCCCTGGTCAATGCTGGGTCAAGGCAGATACAACTCACAATTGCACTGTGGAGCATATTGACATGTGTCCATGCTGATCCAGCGCACACCAAAATAAATCTGCCAAACATGCTATTTTAATTATTTATTCAGAAAAAAACACTGAGAAAGTGTCATGGCTTACCATAAAAGGACACATCATTGAAATATTTTCCAAGCACTGATCACATCATCAGCAACATGTATTTGCAACCTGCTTTGCATCAAAGACAAATATATGTTCAAGGCCAACCAAGCATGTGCAAATAAATGGATGATGTAAACAGACCTCCATGAAAGTTTTTGAACCACAATCTCTGTCTTATGGTTCAGTACATTTAATCACATTGATACATGCATCAAATCCCATAATTGCACACATCCAATAAAACATATCTTGTTATGTAAATAACAGTTCTAACTCTCAACATAGAAAAATATCACTGCATGCAATCAACTGTACCTGATAACATGATCCTAACTTTTCACTGCATGTTGTTTCTGAAGTGTTTTTTGGTAACACAAAGTAAAGATTTACTTGATCTTGAGAATCCTGAGAGAGGAGGGACTCCATTTCTGAAAACAAGGAAATTAAACAAATGCAAGATCATTCCTGCAAGCCAAACAACCAGAGCAGCTACCCTTATGTGGTGCTGACACAATGACAGGATAGTGATGGTACCCTGATGGTATGATGGTGCTGTGCTGGAAGACATCAGTAAACATCATGAAGAGCATGTGGGACAAAGAGATACATCAACATGGGCTACCATGCAAACATCTCAATACTCAAAATACTTGAAACAGGTACTGCACTTCAACACATGAAACCAGGTCCATATATTCATAGCCTAGTGTGCAAACAGCATAACCAAGGCAGATTCCAGCAGAAAAATGTGGTGGTAGCAATATGACCTCACATGCTGTTTTATGATGCATAGTAAAAAATGTGGGCCCCTGCCCAGATTACAAAAAAAAAATATTATGTTGGCCATGTCTGAGTCTGACAAACATGCCAGAGTATGGTGTAGCAATGATATCACAGAAGCAATTAAGAGCATATATGCCGCAAGTCTGAGTGCTCATTGTTTAGCACAATGTCACCACAGATTTAAATGTGTGGAGAACCAAAACTTGAAGGCATCACAAGACTTGTCAGGCAATTTCAGTCACACATACTCTGAAAATAGATTTTACATAAAATATTTTTCTGTGCAAACAGTCTTGCCCAGCCTGATATTGGCACCTTCAAGCAAGAGATTAAGCACACTGAATGACCAACGTCGTATGGGCATACAGGGCAGTGGATGTTTTAGCAGAATGGGTCTCTGCCTGTCAACCTCAGGTAATAATGATTGGGGCTTTATGCCTCACTGACTGTCAGGGCTACATCAAGACAGATGCCTTTATTAGGAATCCTGTGGGATGCTGCAGTGGCATGGCAGGGGCCAGCACCCAAGACCAACAGGTTCACAACCAGGCACCCTAACTACTATACCACCACTGCCTCCCAACCTCTCATGAACAGCAAGCCTTAAAACACATCACAGTAGCTGCTATGCATGGACTGCAAAACAGTCCGGCCACATAAGCACGGTTTTGGCGGTTTTGGCACCATCTAGATTAACACGGTTAGGATGAGTTTGTTTACAGTTCTTCACGCACTTTATCGCTCCGTTATTCCACGCTGCGCGGGGTGTTCTGTTAGCAGTTGAGGCAACGTGGTAAATAACAAGGACCAACCCATCCAAAACATCATAGGGATCACGGACGAGACGCCGCTTCGAAATGTTACGGGGATACCGTCTGCCGAGAACAGGAGCTGACATACTTTCCCGGCGTACACGTTAATGAAAACTGGCAGTACGAGTAAATAAGACACGAACGCTTAGTCATTTTTTGAAAATATTGTGTGTAATCAGGATATCAAAAAATTTAATTTAATTTATAATGAAACTTTTTTCATTATGCAAAATAAAATAATTTGTTGTGAAATGTTCTCAAGAACTCTGATTAGTGTGTGTACCGCGAGGTGCAGCCCTAGACATACCGAGCTGCATACGCACATCTCGCTGAAATTTACCGCCCAATACAAGAACTTTGACGCATGAGAGACGATTGAGTGTTGTTTTGTTGTGATTGATGTCACGTTGCAAGAATGCGGTGAAATTGTTTTGCTTATTGCCGTCTGCAGAGGTTCGTGCAATTGAGCCCTGAAGCCACAATTGGAACATCAGACGTCTTTAGGTCGGAGTGGTAGGCGTGTCCCTACCTAATATTTGAACGGGTAAGTGGAAAGGTCCTCTCTGTGGGAAAGTACCTATCCACCCAGATCAGCCCGCGGAGTCTGACCACACAAGATGGGTCGACTGGGGAAGACCATGGGCATGGTCACTATGTCCTGCGGTTGTTGGAATCTGGACTCCGGACCCCAGTAGCTTCGGGCATGTGAGCTTATTAGTGTTTCCATATAGAATGAGTCCAAAAAAGGACACTGAGTAACATTTGAGGCATGGTTACATCTGAAGATAAGGTTATTTTATTTCCACAGTGCCTTAAAATCCCACTGGTCTAGCCCATGCTCAATCTGTGACCATGCCATTTTTCCACTTATTGCTGTTGTAAGTCTTCTAAAGATAGACTGTGGAATGAACACCACAATAGCACCACAACAACTCAGTTGAAATTCAAAATTAAGGATGAAACTAAGAAACTTCTGCTCAGATGTGCGATATTGTATGGATAAGGTTACTTTGCTGTTGATATACCAATCACCACCTTTGCTTGCAGATGTTTGTCAAAGAGAGCCATGTCTGGGATACCAGTCAAATCCTTCTATGGCTCAAACCACCACCAGTTGGAGGTAGTGGCAGCACAACTGGAGCAGCACATCGCTCGCTTCAGCCGGACGCCGACCTGCGCTCGGCCGCGCCCCACTCTCCTCGGTCCGGCCGCCGCCTGGCATGTGTTCCCGCGCCAGGCGGACGCGCTGCGCACGGCCGCCGCCAGCCCGGGCCTGCAGCTGATGGTGTTCGGCTGTGAGGAGCGCGCGCCCGGCGGCGGCGGCCGGCGCGTCTATCTCGTCTGCCACCCCAACGTCTTCTGGCGGTGTGATGTGCAGAAGCAGCCCGAGCACCGCTGCACGTACGAGGTGATCCGGCAGGGCGTACCTTGTAAGCTCTATCTGGACCTGGAGTTCGACAGGACACTGAACGCCGACCGGGATGGCGATGCCATGGTGGACCTGTTCATCAGGATGATCGCGGCAGCAGTGGACCATCTGTTCCAGATCAAGTGCACGAGACGCGACGTGGTCGACCTGTGCGCCTCGTCGAATAAGAAGTTCAGCAGGCATCTCATATTTAATAGTAAGGGTTTAGTGTTTAAAGATAATAACCATGTTGGAAATCTAGTCAAGGACATCTGTGGCGCGGTGAAGGCCTGTCTGTTGCATAACAGAATGGAAGACTTAACGCGTTTGGGATTGCAGGAATTTAGTAAAGATGAACTGAACACTCTTAGGGTGACATCCAGCTCTGAGCACAGTCTTTTCTGTGACGAATGTGTGTACACAAAAAACAGGAACTTCCGGGTGTACAAGTCATCAAAATTCGGCAAAAGGCGGCCGCTTGTAAAATCCGTGCACAACCAATACACCCCACATCAGTGCAGCAAAGCCTCTCGCGACCCTCGGGACATCTCCTCGGAAGAGGCGTTCTTTCTCGACTCGCTGGTGTCCTACATCGAATGCGACCCCGAGCCGCTGGTCCACCACGGGCGGAGCGACGCCGCCGCCCCGACGCGGCCCCTCACCGCCGTCCCACCCGGCGACTGTGTGGACGGCGGCGGCGGCTCGTGCTCGCCCTACCTGGAGATCGACCGGTTCGTGCGCGACCTCGTTGCGCCGGGCGGCGTGCGGCGCTGGACCTACTTCGCCGACTCGGAGCGCGTCGTGTACGACATCGTCGGCTATCGCTTCTGCCAGAACGTCGGCCGCTGGCACCGCAGCAACAACATCATCGTGGTCGTGAACGTGCGGGAGGCAAGCTTTTACCAGAAGTGCCACGACCCAGCGTGCCAAGGCTTCCGGTCGGACGAGCGGGCTCTGCCGGGCCGTCTGCTGCCCTGGCGTCGCCTGGACGAGTGGGACGGCGACGAGGCCGGCGCGTTCCCCGACTGCGGCGCCACCGACTCGGAGATGGCGTCGGCCGCCTCGCTGGCCGAGCCGGCGCCGGCCGGGAGGCACGCGGCGACCGCCCCTGGTGCTGTGTTCCCCGACTGTGGTGTTCAGGACTGGGAGCTGCAGGAGGCAGGCGAGTTGCCAGAGCCGGTCACCGCCCCAGCTACAGAACCGAACACCGGCTCGGACAGGAATATCTCCAGTGACTGGGATGATCTGCCCGACGTTTGGGACGAGGACCCCGACGTCCGGGAGGACGTCTCCGATGTTTGGGACGATCTCGATCTCTCTGAAGTCCGGGAGGACCTCCCTGACGCCCGTGACCATCTCACTGAGGCTCAGGGTACCCTCGCAAACCTAGGAACCAATGTCCCAGATGACCAAAGCTACCTCCCCGACGTCTGGGACGATATCCCTGATGGAGATCTGTCCGAGTGCTGTACATAAATCGCCGCTATTGCGTGTTGCTGCTTACGCGTGATGAAAATGAACAACGGCACGTGGCTAACTCCAATGGATGGTATTTTCGTTATAACGTACTACCCGTTCTTTCACGATTAGACCTCACGGAACGCCGCATGCTCGCCCGATTATCTGGTTGTCCATAGACTACTAGCACCGATGTGGCCTGCAGTGTCTGTACGTATATATCGAGTTTGCAAGGACAGACAGCGTCATGTGTAATGTTTCCTTGCTTATGCCTTCAAATGGCATTGTGATACTGTCAGCGTGTCTGTTTTACTCCGTCAGTGGTGTATCGTAAATTTCCCTGTCGTCTCCCAGTACGCAGTCATAAATTGGAACCATATTGTGATGGAGCGCGAGCATTATTGCAAAATATTACGTAGTGCCTACTTTGGCCTTAGGGACTCCGTTATATTGTTTGATAATAACAAACGTTCCGTGTCACCGGCAGCTGGAAATGTATATTTGCATACAGACTTAACGGCACCGAATCTATCAGAATAGTCGCAATACGCATATTTGCGCTATAAAGCAGCGCAAAACGTATAACGCCAGTAGTAACTCCACACGCCCGGGATAACGCACTCGCCTTCCTTCAGCCTACGGAAAATTTAACTTACGACCCCGTCTCACGACCTCCTACGCATATGTAATGATAAATGTACACCGTTCTCCAGGAAATATGAGCGGCGTGAGGTGACGCCATGACATGATCACTACCTAGTTCACGGATCGCGCTCCATAATCTTATGGCTACAGTGGTGCCGCCGCCGACACGCACTCTGTCCACCGCACTTGCTGCCTCACGCCGACCTCCGTCCCGCCGCCTGACGTCGCTTCAGGCGCTCCCCGCAGCTGCACTGCTGCCGGCGCGCTCCCCATACTCGGTCGGCACCCACTCGTCTGAAAGAAGAGCGCCTTTCGGAAGCCCCCAGCGATTTTTCCTGGCGCTGTGACGGCGGTGCTCGTGGTTGCCATGATCGCCGGCTCGGGCGATCACTGGAAACCCAGCTGATTCCGGTGGTTCTCCACCTCCGGCAGCGCGCGGAAGGCGAACGCGCACTGCACCTTGCAGACGTGGTCGTTGAGGATGTCCTCGGGCGAGTAGCTGTTCGCCAGGTGGAAGCAGTTGTCGATCTTCAGCGACTGGCACACCGGCTGGAAGCAGTTAGGAAAGTCAGCACTCGTTCCAGTTAACACGATTTTGCCATGTCACCCTTCGGATGAACACGCGCGCGCACACAAACACAACAGCAATAGTGAACAGGACCTCAAGGCCGAACTGGTGTTGGCCTAGTTCAGACCAAAACGCTTCGCGCATTGGTAATACATACATTGGCACTTGGACGTGCTCAAATTCGCCCAGCTTGACGGCAGTTGTGGCGATACTTACTCCCTCTTTAGTGCAGGTGCACATGACGCAGGGCGAGACGCGCTCGGCCGAGCCGATGTCGATCGTCAAGCTTCCCACAGAGCAGCTGACGCGCTCCTTCCACAGGTCCAGGTCGATGCTCTTCATGCTATCGCAGTTCACGCGAGGGTTCCTGGAACAGTGTGCTGGTGTCACAGCTGGCGAATATTTGTCAAGCCTAGATTACATGTGTGCGTGACGTTTGAACTGGGGATCAGCCTCATAGACCCCCCCCCCCCCCTCGTATTCGTGAGCACGCAAGCATTCAGCGCGGCACTCGATTCCAGTAATCGCACGAACTTTCACCCGGCGGAAACTTCACCAGATGCCACAGAGCCGGTCGGCCTCCACAGCGGGCATGTACTTACAGGAACGGGTCCGGCAGGTCGAACAGCGACCTCTGCACGACGTCCACCTGGTCGCAGTTGTCGCAGACCATCTTGGAGAGGGTCGACTTCCTGATCTCCGCCAGCTGCGCCTCGGTGAACCGCACCAGAGGGTCTTCGTTCTCGTACCTGCCGAGGACGCGGTGGCGTCATGTCCCGTGCCAAACGCTGAACACAATACCGGATCTCTGACATGGCTGGGGGAGAACTGCACGCTGTTTTTTTTTTATTCCACAGTTTATTTCATAGCGAGCTCAGTCATTGCTCAGGACCTTGTTGACGGAAAGTCGTATTGGTTGGGCTTGGAGGTTCTGTCGATGTTTGACCAAAGCTTCCAAGCGAGTGATCGCGTGGCCCAACAGTTTTTGCTTTCTGAACTGTACTGGTTCGGACGCCTGCCAGTCTCCTGTAGAGACCATCACAGGTGGCTGCCAGCCGGCACCGGGGCGACCCCGCCGCCCTCGGGTCAGCAGCGGCGAGCACCGCTCCTGGGTCGCCGGGCGGCAGCACCCGGACAGCGGCTCACCAGAAGCGGTCGCAGCGCTTCAGGGCCCTGAACTGGATGCCGATGATGCAGCCGAAGGTGGGTCCGACCAGGCCGCCGTGGAGCGGCGTCTCGGCCAGACCGCCGGTGAAAAGATCTGCGCGGAGGCGGGTGGCGGGTCAGCTCAGGCGCGCGCGGGCGGCAGCCCCACCCCTCCTGTGCCCCCCGTCCGAGGGCGACACGGGCGATGTTTCACAGGGCTTGTGAAAAGACTAGACGAAAGACTTGTCCAGTCATTATGAATTGCTCGGAACCGGCACGCGGCAACCCGACGATCCGAAAATCCTCGGTTGCATGTTCGCTGGCACGGTTACTCACGGTCACCCAACACGGTAACACGCACGCAACTCGGCGACGATCCCCACTGCAGGTCAGACTGAGAAGGTACCTACCGATGTCGTCGACTTGCGAGTAGGTGCGCCGCAGCCTCTCCAGGATGGGCGGCGATATCTCGCGGGTCAGGTCGCTGAAGGACCTGGCGTGAGTCAGGTTGCAGAGCGAGCGGTACTGGTTGTACGGCGCCAGGCCGTGGTCTCGCCCTGTGACAGCAGAAGCCGCGTTAGCACTCGCCCGCAGAGGTCCAAGCACGACCAGTGCAGTTGCAGCTGGAGAACGGAAATGCTCATAGATTATGGAACCAGTCAAAAGCGGATCACCATATCGGGGTGACGAGGCTACGTTGCTTATCACTCTGGCACATTTGAGGGTGAATTTTAAGACCGAGTAGGCACGTCTTTTTTGAGACAGGTAAGCCGGGGTCTCGCTTCGTATTCAACCGGATGGGCTCCAGCTCCCTGCCCCTCTTCCCCCTTCGCTGCCAGCCCTCCTCCCAGTTTCCAAAGGAAAAAAAAATAATCCGTGGGTAAAGTGGACGGCGTGAAAATAACGCTTAACTTTTGTCATTTTCTCTTGATTTGTTTCGCCTGGCTTAGCCTCCCCTACTGATTTCGTAAAACTACGTCCCCATAAGTCAGCATGTGCTCTTTCGTATGACTTGAGGACATCAACGCAGAAAAAGCGAAAATCCCAGCACGGCATTTCTCGCCTTAAGTGACGTTGACACGTCATCGTTTGCTTCTCGTACACAGCATTGTTATCCGAGTCTGACCCGCTGCATTTTGTCATCGGCGGCAGGTCACATCTCACCTCTCTGCAGGTTGAGTGCGACCAGGTCGAGGCCGGAGAAGGGCACATGTTTGTCCTCAAACAGATGGTTGGTGACCTCCTCGGTGATGAACTGGTCAAGCGTCTCCATGGAGGTGGTGGCCAGTCCGCGGATGACTTGGTCAATCATGCCCGGCTCGTACAGCGGGTCCGGGTTGAAGAACGTGTCCTTCAGCTGCGGAGCCATTCCGAACAGGCGTTATTTACGGACATTAGGGCACATTACATACGGGCATTAGGGTTATTTATAGCATGACTCGTTGGCCACGTCCCAACTATACGCCGACATCCCATGCAATGGATCACGGGCACGCGTGGAGGTCGTCGCGGCAGACGGGCCGCCCCGCTGCACCGCCAGCAATAGTGGGCCATCCCTGCGGTAAGGTGTGTAGCTTTCTGTTCAGTTGGGGTGGGGGATAAAGCCCCCCCCCCCCCAACTTGGGCTCCAGATGCCAGGCTATGAGAAGAACTTGGACCAAATTCAGGGAGAACCGGCTTGTTGGTGTATTTTGGAGATAAGTTGATAAGTTGAGTAATTTGTCACTTTTCACTTTACTAGTTTATTACCCCCCCCCCCCCCACAACACATTTAACGATGCTGCGCCCCTGCCTATGCTGATCACTGACGGCCCTCACCTTGATGTCGGGCCCTTTGTGCTGGTACGCGTTGTCCATGCGGACCAGCTGCGGCTTTAGCAGCGAGTGGCCGAAGCGGAAGGCCGCCGTGGAGAACTCGTTCACGATGGACGCGTCGCAGTACGGGTCGTAACCTGGAACAGGAGGAAGGTGGGTTTTGGCAGTCAGGTGGGATACATGTCCCTCCTTAGGTCGAAGTCAGCACCAGAGCTCACACTGTACTCTTGGCTGCTGGTCATGTACGCGTCGACAGCCACTGGGAAAGGGCAGCAAAGCCAGCCGAGGCGGCGCGCAACGGTTATTCCGATCGCACGAGACCCAGCCTGTCAGCGTCCTGAGCACCACCGTCCTGTCCCCTCCCCCCCCCCCCCCCCCCCCCCCCCAGCCGTGCCCCGCTCGCCCGCTCACCCTTGTGGTAGCCTTCGCTGTCCAGGTTCAGGCCGTACAGGTTGATGGCGTTCCAGCCGAGCACGCGCGGCAGGAACTCGTTGTAGGTGATGTGCTGGTTGAGGGCCGACAAGATGCGCCGGCCATTCTGGAACAGCTGCTCGTCGTTCCAGTGCGGGTTGATGCGCTTCAGGTAGTCGACGATGCGGTTGTGCTCGCGCATGAGCAGGGTGTGCATGACGGCCAGGCCGGGCTGCTCCGAGGCGCGGGTGTCACCTGTGGGCACGACACCGGTCAGACGGGGCTAGGTCAGACGGGGCTAGGTCAGACGGGGCTTGGTCAGACGAGGCTAGGTCAGACGGAGCTAGGTCAGCTCACCTGGTACACAGAACTGTTTGCAACAACTGCACACCAAGTGCCGCCACACTGCGCAGTAACTGTGCTACAGATTAGCAACCAAAGTAGCGTCACAAGGCAAGTACATCCGTTTCAAGAATGCGGGTTGTTCCCCATTGATATTTGGATCAAACGCTCCTGAGTGAGTGTGCACCCTTGTTACAGATGTTAGTCGGCGTCCCACCTCACCAACACTCCCCTTGGTAAGAATCTGAGGTCTAGTCCCCCCCCCCCCTGCCATTTCCACCCACCACATCCCCGCCATCTCTACCCACCACCGCTCATCGTCTACCGCCCCCGCCTCATTACCGTCCACTTCCGCTGAAGTCCTGCCCACTGACCGCCGCTAACGCCCCACCCATTGACCGCCGCTGAAGCCTCGGTCACTGACCGCCAGTGAAGCCTCAGTCACTGACCGCCAGTGAAGCAGACGCCCGAGTTGGACTTGCACTCCTCGTTTTTGTGGGCGCTCTCGAGCGGCAGCAGGTCCTTGCCGCGGATGGGGTGGCGCGTGGCGTTGAGCCGGCCGCCGACGAAGCTGCGCAGCTGGCGCTGCTCGCACTTGTCCGAGCCGTACGTGTGCGACGCGTCCACATACGCCGTCACCTGATTCATCTGCTCCCGGTAACCTGTCGGCCGGGGCTGGTAACTGACGACGAACGCGCCGTCACCTGATTCATCTGCTCCCGGTAACCTGTCGGCCGGGGCTGGTAACTGACGACGAACGCGCCGTCACCTGATTCATCTGCTCCCGGTAAACTGTCGGCCGGGGCTGGTAACCGACGACGAACGCGCGCTGCTGTTTACGTCAGGCACGTTGGCTCATGCATATTCGCAAGGCCGCTCATCACGTGGGACTGCTGGTTATTTGCTAAGAGACCCTTAGGGCAATGGATACTTTCTCCCTTTTATGGCCGCGAAGTCGAGATTCCATGTACGTTTAGTTTTGCTTCAGCGGACCCAAGCTATTGAAAGACTATTAACAGATATCTATCGCAAATCTAAGCAGTGCAAAATAACTGGAAAACAAAGATGCGTCTCTACATGATATTCACTAAAAATTACAGAATCATGCCTGAAATCAGACTTAAGTTGGAGCTTCCAACACCTTTGAAGTAGCTCATAGCGTTCAGTACTTCCCGCTACCCAGCTACAGCCCGTCCCTACCGGGGCAGTTCTGTGTTCCGGCACCACTGACCTAGCGTGAGCTGTCCGGGCATGGAACGCGTGAAGGGCAGGCAGAAGAGCTGGCCGTTGGTGACGTTACGCCGCGGGAAGTAGGGGTCGTTCTCAGGCACAGAGATCGGCATGCACTCCGGGTGGATGGTGAGCGCCGCATCACACCGCCGGCAGTCCAGGATGCTGCAGCGGCGCAACGCGTGAGACGACGGCAGCTGGCGGGACGCCCTGCTTCACCCGCGCCGCAACATCAGCACATTCGATAGCCGTCGCCATGCCGCGCGCCTCGCCCGCCATGGACACCACTCGCTTTCCCAAACACGGAGGCCACAGACTCTCATCTGGGGCAGTCTGACGCAATGCTAGTGGCACGTGACGTGCCTCCCCCCCCCTTCCTTTCCGGCACCATCAGGTCCGCCGGGGCGCTCACCTCTCGCCGAAGCCCTTGTTGACGGGCGTGAAGGTGATGTCGTGGTCGATGAACTGACCCCACTGCATGATCATGAGGTTGTAGCGCACGTGCGGCGCCGACACGTCGTTGTGGATGTTGACGGAGATGAGGCGCGGCGACGGCAGCGGGTTGCCCGCCACGGACCGGTCCCTCGGCGCCATCAGACCTGCCGACGTCACGCGACGGGGGACGTCACAGACGTACAGTGCTATCCCGCTGAGTCTGGGCCAGCGCATGGCGGCGGGGGGGGGGGGGCGTCAGGCCACTTCTGGGAAGTAATAATTATTTCACTTTCCCCTGGAGATAGCGTCAACAGCGGGCAATGCAGGATGATCATGTAGTCACAGTCCTTTCATTATATCATCATATCATCACATCACATCACATGGTCAAAGTCCAATGCAGGATGATTACAGTGGAGGTCGCTCGGTTCAAGTGTCATACCAACACTGTAGTGGAGAAAGACGTCTGTAATATGACAAAAATCCTTGAATATGTGTGAAAGGGGGCTTCAAGGTACTGCAGGGTTTATGGGCAATAGTTACATCAGCGGTACCCGTAACATCTGCCAAGCACGGCTGTTCTTGTGATAGACAAGATAAGCCTTAAGCTCCTGGCTTTTCAGGATTATAAGTTCAGCATTCTTATCCGCCAGTTATCAACCCTCAATATCGATAATTGTCGGCATAAGAACTGATCTCGCAATGACAGTGGCTATTGCGGATTCTAAAGCCTCTTCCTCGTGCGAGTGGAATGGTTTCGTCCAACGCCCCTCTTGAACAGCAAAAACAAATGCTTCTTGGAGCCTACAGTTCAGTTCAGTTCAGTACAGTACAAACTGCAGCTCAGTCGCTGGGCTTCCGCAGCAGCGACGGCCTTGCAATACAGCAGGTCAATGCCCAACGCATAGCATCGTGCCGCCGCCAGCAATGACGAAACTACCTCTGATGCAACGATACCGGCAAACAGCTGCCGCAAAGCCAACAATGACCTCCCATTCGTCCATCAGTTTGCAGGCGTGCCATGAGTGCTGCGGTGGAAATGTGGTTCAGTGCACTGGAGCGCGGCCAGGTATGGAACTTATTGTCCGCATAATTTGAGGTAAATACCTCATCAACGTTCGAGGTGTGACCAATCGCGGCTGTGACTTCGAGCGTTTCTAGCAGCGCGCGGTACATTCTATCGGCGTTTGGGGGAAAACCGCCGCTGAAGGGGGACTCGCAGACAATCGCGTTTTAAAACGTACGGCGCTGAACAAAAACCAACCATCATATCTGGGTGTCTCCGTAGCTCCGCGCCTTCTTTTCACGCAAGCATACATTTGCACATAAAAGACAAATGTATCGAACAGTCAAAAACTCGTTGGCGGTACCATCCAAGACCCCGAAGAACCACTGCCGGCCAGTTGCACAACCACGCATTTAGTTTCGCCGAGTCATCCTGAGCGATTCCACTGAATACGGTGAAACCCATGCTCCGCGGTCACAGTGACCGACCACACGTGACGGGGTCGGTCACGCGAATGCTGGTGACCAGCTGCCGTAAGCAGGCACCATCCCTCCACCCCTCCGCCGGGCCCGGTCGGGTCCCGCTCCGGGTCCCGCTCCGGGTCCCGCTCCGGGTCCCGCTCCGGGTCCGTTCCCCTCACCGTCCGAGTAGTGCGGGCGCACGAGCCGGTTCAGGGCGCGCACGCCCTTGCCGAAGCCGGGGTTGTTGAGGTTGTTGCACCAGCCGGAGGCCGTGCGGAACTTGGACGTGTGGTCGCAGGGCAGCGTCTGGTCGTCACACTCGAACACGCTCGGGATCTCCATCACGTCCGAGACGTCGATGTTGGGCAGCACCTGGACCAGCTCGTGGATGTCGCGCGGCGCCACGCTGCCCGACTCGCGGTCCTTCAGCTGGTTGCTGCACGGTAGAAACAGAGGCAGACGGGTCATTGTGACGAAAACACGCACTCACGCCCGCGCGAGCGAGCACGCACGCACGCACGCACGCCAACATCAGCATAAGCAACTACGCACGCACACACGCACGTGTGCACGCATGCTGGGACCAGAGACAGTTTCCTGTGATGACAGTTAAACTGCAGGTGCGGTGAATCGGTCGGATACCATGGGTGGTTTGCCTGGTGTGGTTTAGTGAAACAGTGCGCTCTCACACTTCTCCGCTCCGGGCGATGTCTAGCCTAGGCCAAAAGAGGGAGAAAGCAGGCACAAAATCCGCGTGCGCAGTAGCCGCACAATTTCATTCCTATTCACTAAGTCCCATCTCACCCGTTCAAGAAGTTGTTGATGAATCGCTGCGAAGCGAACTGCAGCACCATTGAGGTGTTGGATATGTCCTGCGCCTGCCGCTTAGGTCTCATGAAGGCGTAGGCAGAGCCGATGGCAGACTTGGGATCGGCCGCCAGATCTGCGAATAGTTCGGCGTGCTGATCTGTCTAATTCGCATGCTGCATCCTCTAGATACGGAAAGGGACGAGTTGCTCTAATGTCTAATGATCCAAGTTCCGTGGTGAAGTGCTCCAGTTTTAATGGTCCAAGCCCAATCATGTTATTTCGGTCAAGGTCTTATGGTTCAATTGAGAATTTGACGTCCAGGTGAATACCATCTGGCAAGTAACATTTCTGAGACCGTGACAAGTAAGAAAATAACGGTGCATCGTCATTTGCAATGGCTGACGGCATTTGATCTATTACACATGTCTTGCGAGCAAATTTTGTCGCGTGTCGTGTGAAAGCACTGGACAATAACATATAAATGCGTTTATGTATATATATATATATATATATATATATATATATATATATACACAACCGTCAGTCACTTTTGCAAACTTGCGATTCTTTTTTGTTCATCGATAGGTAATGGTAGTTTAGGACCGAAATCTGTATCTAATAAAGTTCCTCAATCACGTAGGCCACGTTACATAGGTTCGTAACCTTTCCTATGTTAACCAGGGCGTACATTCTCAGCATGATTTTACGATGTCTTGGCTTACGTGTGCCGTTTTTGCTTTAGAAAGTCCAATTTGTTCCCAAGCACAGGGATGTCGTTTTCTATCTCGTTTGGGGGCTAAAGACCCCAACTTGGGCTCTAGCTCCCTCCCCAACTTTGGGAAGAAAGCGGACAAAATCCAGTGAGAAATAGGTTTGTTTGGATATTTGGGGTCAGTTTGGGTCATTTTAAACTGCCCAGTCTCCCGTTCCACCACTACCCCACCCCCCACCCACCCATTTTGCTTAACTACGCCCCTAACCCAGCATTAAGGTCTGCCTGACCTTCGTAACTCGAGCACTTACTTTTGCTGTGTAGGGGCAGTTTGAATCTGCGCGCTTGAAGACCTGTTTTCGTTATAGCTAAGGCTACCACTTACTTGTTTTATATTTTCACTCTTACATATTGAAATACCTTACCACTGACTGCGTCCCTGAAAGCCCTCGAAGACGGCGCGATAGCTACGCTTTCTTAAACGAAGTGTTCCACATTTGCATGGGGTTTTCGACTAAAATAGTCATCTTGAAGATCTTTCGATGCAGCTCACAGCCGCACCCTCCCTAAGACCTAAAACCCTCTAGTTCCTGAGCTATACGCCCGCGAAGATGTGCAAACTATCTCGTGCAGATTATGTCAAGGCCATTCGGCCTACATGACGCCATAAAAACCTCATTCAAATCCTGTCACTCCATTGGTCATGCGGATTTCAAGGCCAATGATAATAGAATTGTCGAGTCGTTCACATCTGGCGTTCATGAATACGATTTCCAAGTATAAAGAACGTCGATTGGCTCTCAATCCATGTTTTGCAGGCTACGCAAAGTTCAAACACGACTCAAATTTTGTGCTACATAGTACAAGAAGTTAGACATGGTTACTGGTCATTATGGAAATAAGACTTACAACTGAATGAATTGAGAATGGCACCATAACTGAGCATACGAATACAAGTAAACACCATACACACACGGAAAAATATGCAAGCAGACCACGAGAAAGAGCCGAGCACTATCATATGACGATAATTGGTTCATCAAACGCGTCCAGCACCGCTACGGCGCCACGGTCACCTCTCAAGAGATTGCAGTACTACAAGTTAGTGCTAGGGTGGCAATTCCGCACGGCTAGTTTGAGAGCACCTCAACGTCACACAAACGTGACGCAATCAAGCAATGACGTAGTGCCGAGCATGTTAACTTTATAGATAAACTGTATTTTCTAAAGCAGTTTTTACCACTTAAAAGCATACCACTAGCTGCAAGTGAGCTTATTCCATCATGTCTGATGCTTACCTCAATATCTTAAAATGCGGAACATTTCCCTTTAATAACCTAGCACCGAATATGTTTGCTAAGCATGCGCAATATGCTTCATCTGCTGCGCTAAGACTTACGACGGCTGCATTACACCCTTTTCTGCACCCTCCGAAATGGCGCCTTGGGTTGGCATCCATGCCCGGTGCGGGTTAAGGTATGTACGCGGCAGAAAATGTCGGTGCATGATGGATGATCGACGAGATTTAGATATCCTTCAACGATAGTCCCCGGTTGGTGCACGGCCGGCACTGACTGTTACCGTGCGGCCGACTAGGAGCGACGGCTGGCGGCGCCGGCTCGGCGCTGCGCCCTACCGTTAGCCGGCATGAAGCCACCCGGCTTTCGTGACGATGTGGCCCGCCTCTTGACCGGCACATACAGAGTGTCACATCCGGCGGTACAATGCACAATTCATAGTAAGTTGTGTAATGGAGGAAACGTGCTCTTGCATGCCCACTACTCATGCGTCGCCAAGAACCATTGCAGACGGTCAGTATGTGGCGTGGTAGCGGTGGTGATGTCCGACATGATGTCCCAGATCTGCCCGCGACCTTGGTACCATCACATGCGTGCAGGCCTGCAGCCGCTACCGGGGCGGCGGCCATGGCGCCGCCCACTTCAGCGAATTGTCTGCACGGCCCGGCGGGAGGCGGCGCCGGCGCGGCTGGTGAAGAGCGCTGCCAGGCACCGGTGCCGGCCCATACAGGAGCGCTCGGCGGCCCGGCTGCCCGCTGCGCTACGCTCACGTCGTCCAAAAGTGGCGGCATTGACTGGTTCGTTTCGGCCCGGAAAGAGGTGCCACAAAGGGTGGCCGTGAGCGGGAGACTCCGTGACTCTGCTCGCTGATCCGTTTCACAGACACGAGGAGAGAACAAAAGCCCGGATGTGATGGATGTTAGGTGACCTGTCACCATGAGTGATGTCCACGCCCTCACATGCACATGCCGTGCAACCAGTGGGAAGTTAGTCAGGCCGTTAAGTCAGCACGGGGACCAATGTCCGGTCAGCCAGTCAGCGGTCACCACAGGAGCAATCAGCGATGTGCCCATAGCATTTTGTGATATTTGAACACACCTGAAGGCGCGGTCTACCCCAAACAGGATCGGCACTTGGCACTCCATGTGGTCCTTTAGCCCGGCACATCCACTGGTTGCGTCATTGACAGGAAGTGTGCGTGTCTGGTCCGTTAGTCAGCAGTGAGCTGCCGTTTCCGGGTCAGGCTGGCAGTGCCAAAGACGAGTGAGTGGGTCACCGCTGGGTGCTGGTGGCGGATCCATCGGTCACTGGTGGGTGCTGGTGGCGGATCCATCGGTCACTGGTGGGTGCTGGTGTCGGGTCCATCGGTCACTAATGGGTGCTGGTGTCGGGACCATCGGTCACCAATGGGAGCTGGTGTCGGGTCCACCGGTCACCAGTGGGTGCTGGTGTCGGGTCCACCGGTCACCAGTAGGGACAGCGTCAGGTCCACTGTTCACCGAAAAGTACCAGTGACGCGTCGGGCCGTCAAGGATGGTTGCCTGTGTCGCGTCGTAGTCACCGTTGGGTTCGTGTGTCGCGTCCGAGTCATCAGCAGCACCCACGTCGGTCGGCGCCGCCACGTCCCTACTCACTCTCATTGTACAGCTTCTCCTCGTGGGTGCGTAGCGTGCTCCACGCGGCCTGGCCCACCTCGACCGAGTCGAAGAGGAGCGCGATGGCCTCCTGGAACACGCGCGAGTTGGGGTCGCCGGCCTGGCGCGGCCGGCGACGCACCAGCGCGCGCACCATCTCTGGCACCGCTGCAACGTCCGAACGTCGCGTGGGTCACGTCAGGTCACGGCGTCGTCCGGTTAGTGGGTTAGTGGCGCCGAAGGCCGCCTGGTGCACTCCACGAGGGACCAGATGGCGGCCGGTCACTGGCGTCAGACAGCAAGGGACCGTTTTGTTCATACGGGGGGCAGTGGCTTTAACGGTTGCGGGGCATGCCGGGCTCAGTAGCTCTCTTTGTCGGGTTAGAAAGCGTCTGTCATAGCACAACGAAAGCGAGGGATTTTACTCACAGGCGCAGCAGCACCGATCATCACTCGCCCGCGTGTCGGATGCTGCCACTGTGCACTCAGTCAGTCTCCTGGCACCTGGCCTCGCAGCACCCACTGCAGCGGCGCAGTGGCCCCGCCGCCCGCCCGTCTGCACACTCACGGGCCTCGTGCAGATTCCACTCGGTGTGACGCATCTCGCCCAGGTCACGCTTGGCGCGCTCGATCGACTGGTGCAGCATCTCGTCGGGCACGACGAAGTTGGGCGACAGCTGGCGCCAGCGGTCCAGGTTGATGCGACCGATCATGCCTTTGGCGCAGTCCATCCGGGCGTTCCTGCCGGCCGGCGGGGCGCCAGACTAAGCGGCGGAGACCGACACCCGGCCCACTGAGCGTGACGCCATCATCCGGCGAGCGTAGGCCTTGGGACTCGGCAAATTTGGCCGTGTAGCTGGCTAGCTATCGCAACACGCGCCGCACCAGCCTCAGACCGGGTGTCCGGAGTCGTCATCGACCGCGCTGTGGTCTGGCGAGGATAAAGAGCGAAAGGGTGCAGTAGCGCAATCCTAACAGGCAGGGAACTGGCAGCCAGTTGTGAGCGCCGGTGCATCGACAGGCTCGTGGCGAGCACACTCACAGGAACTCGTCCGATTGGAGCAGCACGGTGGGCTGCATGTAGTCGATGGCGTCCGCGTTGTCGCAGATGATCCGCGCCAGCGACGTCTTCCGGATCTCGGCCAGCTGGTCTGCAACGGCACGTCCCTACGTCAGGCCCGTCGCCAGCTATACGCGATGCGGCGCATTAGGCGCCCCTGGAATGCATCTCGCCAATCCTGTAACACATCGCACCGATGCACGGCCATGCCGGCAGGACGCCCCTGATGCAATACCATAAAAGGCCACTTAGTCACCTCTCCGGTGACGTCATGGATCATCTTTTCCGTGACGTCCGCGAGTTCTACCACACTGCAGTGTGCGTCCCAGTACGTGAAAGGCACGCCACGCCAGCTTGAACGCGCGTCATGCTAATCAGCAAGAACAAACTGTTTTTGGTGCGCGCTGGAAGGGCCGCGTCACATGGAATCCACCAAGTCACCACATTTCGTGCGACAGATCTGATAGGCGGCACGTCTCGGCGTCAACACCACGTCATCAGGGCCGGCAGCAGCCGAGCGAGCTGGGCAGCTGGTCGGCGGCGGCTCTTCGAGTCTCTCACCTCTGGTGAATGACGAGGGCGGCACGTCGTTTTCGTACCAGTAGCGGTCGCCACGCTTCAGGTAGTGGAACTGGCGGCCGATCAGGCAGCCAAAGGTCGGGCCGACGAGCGCCCCGACATTGGCCGTCTCGGCCAGGCCGCCCGTGAACAGGTCGATGTCGTCCACGTGACTGCGGCGCGGCCGCGGTGTTACGGCTTGAGGCGCCCAGGGGACGACGGAGGAGGCGGGCCGTATCGGCCGCCGCCCCCGCCACAACATCGCGCACACGGGATAACGTGGCTTATCTCTCGAGTTTCAACAAAACGGTTTGCAGCCCTCTTAAAGAGTACCTCGGCCCATTTGTCAGTTTTCGTTATTGGGCATGTGGCAATGACTTGATCTACGCTATGACCTGACATGTTACGGAATATAGAATTTCATCACAATCTTCATGTCAAACCTGCTCTGAGGATTCCAGAACAAGTCCATCTAATGCGATCTTGCTCACCACACACCCAGAGAATGCTTACTGAAAATATTTCGCGGTGTACTCTGCACGAAGAACGAACTGAGAATGACTTGACAATTCGACTGATCGTTAACTATGCAGGACAGAACCCCTAGACTGGTCGCCTCCTGCACGCATGCCCCCGAGGAAGACATCATCCCCCGGTGTAAAAGACGCACCTGTAGACTCGCTGCAGGGCCTGGATGACGTTTGGCGCCATGGTGTCGCCGAGATCCTTGAAGCTTTTGGCGCGCTCCAGGCCGCAGAAGCCCTTCCACTCGTTGTAGCCGGCCACGCCATGGTCTCTGCCCTGCTGGATCAGCTGGGCGGCCAGGTCCAGACCGAACCCTGCCCAGACCGGCCGCGCAACATGTCTAAACGCACGCTCGGATGGTGGTGATAGGGAGGGGGGGGGGGGGGAGCAGAGGAGGCCGACATGGTAAATGCTTTCACGCGAGACGTTTAGATGGATTAAAGAGTACCTATACAGATTCGTACTGATTGCACTCACCTCCTCATACGATCGGATCTGCACAAGTACCTGAATGTCTGGCGGCTGTGTCTCGCCACGCGTCACCGTAGGCTTATGCAATACAACCGAGTCACAAGCTCGGCACGTCACACGGTGAGGGAGCGTTTGTGTGTCACCCACAAATGGGCTGGTTTGTGTGATCTAAAATAAAAGCTAACTATTGACGTCGCATATGTTGGTGGAGATCAACGGTACCGGAAAAAGGCCCGCAAAACGGCAATCAGCTCTCATCGTCAGCCAAATCCTCAATTAGCTCTCACCGTCAGCCGAATCCTCAATCAGCTCTCACCGTCAGCCGAATCCTCAATCAGCTCTAACCGTCAGCCGAATCCTCAATCAGCTCTCACCGTCAGCCGAATCCTCGAACAGCTTGTTGGTCATGGCCTCCGAGATGAAGACGTCCTCAGCCATGGCCTTCTCGCGCACCAGACCCTCCAGGATCTGGTCCAGCCTGCCCTTGACGTACAGCTCGAACGGCGCGTAGAATGTCGACGTCAGGTCCAGCTCGTTGACCACGCGCTCCTGACGGACGGTGAGCAGTAGTAACTACATCAATTCGGGCCGTCCGCCACATGCGGGGGTAAAACGGTGCAGGTCAGACCGCACGCTGCTGCGCGGTGCATGCTGTTCGACTCATCCACCAAACGCTGCTGATGACCTCTGGGGGTCAGGTCACGTCCGGCTTACCAACGCCTGGTACGTTAAGCTTGATGGGAATGCAGCATGGTGCGCTATCTCTACTCTCAGCACGGAACGAGCCACGGATCCCCAGTGGTCGCTGCTTTCCCCGAGGGGAAAGGGAGCAGACGACCGCCGCCTCCCGAGGCGCCGCATCTGGTTACGAGTTCGTGAGCTGCGGTCGCTGGAGTTCGAAGCAGGTCACTTGACCCACCTTGCCCGAGGCAGGTGGCGGTCGCCAACTGAAGCGTTTCTTCACCGAGTCTACACTATTTGTCAACTTCCTATCCTCTACCGCACCGCGAACCATGCATTGGGCAGGATCAAATTATGAAATAACCAGCTGGATGTCGTTAAACATTCACGACGAGGTTTTTGATGACAATCTCTAATGAGTTAGCATTAGTCATATTATTTTCGAAACTCCAACTGGTTTGACACTACTGCATGTTGAAAACTGAGCCGCAAACCGCGGCAAATGACCTGAAAAGTTTTCATTTGAACGTCTGAAAGTGAGATCGCTTTTATAATCGAGTCCCTGCGCCACGCCCGACAGCCGGTGGCGCGCGTGTCGACTGGACACCCTGGCCTCTTTTCTCACGGCGTGACTGTCGACGCGCGGAGTCTCGACCGCGGCGCCCGAAGCGAGCCCCCGGACATGGGCACCGCTCCGCCGCACTCACGCCGTTCCGAAGCGCGATGCTGCTGCCCATCATGGAAGCGACGAAGCGGAGGGCCGAGGTGGCCACGCTGTTGGCCACGCCCGGGTCGATGTTGATGTCGTAGCCGGTGAAGTAGCCGGCCTTCTCCACCTCCAGGCCGTACTTTGAGACGATTCTCTGCGGTTGAGGACGTGGGGTGATCATGGAGCCGCCGTGTAAGCCATAAAGGCGGCGCTGGGAAGCCGTGGGACATTGTGTTCATGTGATAGAGGGTACTAACGAGTCTCAATTGCCGCCGCATGAGCTTGGACACGATTTTCAGACCATCGACATGCTGGGAAATAACCCGGATAAACTTTTTGACGGTCGCGTAACGTCGTCATTGCTCCAAGCACGGCCATCAATCCTCCCCGCAAATGGCTAGCGTTTAATAAACATGTGACCACATTCCAAACCCTGCAGTGTATAATGCAGCTGAGCCGAGGAGCTAACTCGTCTCACGGCTTATCCACATGGTTCACCTTCAGAGCTGCACCACCCAAAGGCATATACCAGCTTTCAGTGTGTGGGTGGAGGGTGCGGCGCCGTACCGGTGAGCCGTCACGCTTCACCCAGGAACTGGAGAGTGCGACGTCGCGGCTAAACGGATCGGTGAGGGCATTTATCGCACTGAGAGGCAGCACGGCGGCCGCTGAGCGAGTCCCAGCGCCCAGCACGCCGACGTGAACCGGCTAGAAAGCGGCGCCTAGAAAGTGTTTCCGATGGTGATGATGACGGATAACGATATGATCGTCTCGTCAGTGGCTAACTGTGTCGTTCCGCCTGGGCTCAGGTGATCAGGATGGCGCTGTCCGCCGTTGCGGACGCTCGGCGGCCCGGGGTGAGCTCACAGCGGCTAACTGTGTCGTTCCGCCCGGTCTCAGGTGACCAGGATGGCGCTGTCTGCCGCTGCGGACGCTCGGCGGCCGGGGTGAGCTCACAGTAGCTTACTGTGCCGTGCCGCCTGGGCTCAGGTGACCAGGATGGCGCTGTCCGCCGCTGCGGACGCTCGGTGGACCGAACAGGGGCCCGGCTGAGCTCACAGTGACCAAATGTGTCGTGCCGCCCGGGCTCAGGTGACCAGAATGGCGCCGTCCGCCGCTGCGGACGCTCGGTGGACCGAACAGCGGCCCAGGCTGAGCTCACAGTAGCTAACTGTGTCGTTCCGCCCGGGCTCAGGTGACCAGGATGGCGCTGTCCGCCGCTGCGGACGCTCGGCGGCCCGGGGTGAGCTCACATTAGCTTACTGTGTCGTGCCGCCCGGGCTCAGGTGACCAGGATGGCGCTGTCCGCCGCTGCGGACGCTCGGCGGCCCGGGGTGAGCTCACAGTAGCTTACTGTGTCGTTCCGCCCGGGCTCAGGTGACCAGGATGGCGCTGTCCGCCGCTGCGGACGCTCGGCGGCCCGGGGTGGGCTCACAGAACACCGACAGCTGGCGCTCACAAGACTGGTGCTGCGGCGAACGGCCAGTGGGCCTCGCTATCACGTCTGTTGCACGTCGTGATGCCACTCCACAGCGCACAACGGCGTCACGTGGCTCATGTCCATAAGCGCGCTCGAGTCCGTCTCGGCGCCGTCAACTGCATCCAAATCGCTTTGCATGACATCGACTCCAACCGCGATTACGGATCACTGTCAGCAAATTTGGGTCGAGCCTGATTTGTACTGGACCAGAACGCAAACACCCGTGTTCTGACGTTGGGGCTCGGGAAGGACCAGCATTGGAGTTGGCCTTAGTGCAATTCCACTCGGCAATTATGACTTACTTTGCGTAGTAGCTGCAATTCATAGGAAGGTCGGAATGCGTTTTACGGAATCTCATGCCTCACTTAACGTTCAAATACGTATGCTGCATTTGGGTGCCTATTTCACTCCATAACAACATTATCCTCTGTGCGTTTCATTTATTTCCTAATAGACACTGGTCACGCGTAAAAAAGGACCCTTTCTGGGCATCCACAACTCCAACCGAGGCATCGCCTTTATGTTATTCCGACTCCATTCGCTTGGCCTTAATGGAATTGATCCCTACCTTGACTCTATTCTTGTTCTATTCTGGTTCCGGATGTCATCATCAATGCCAACAGGACTAAGCGCAAGTCATGCGGTCGGTAGCGCTTGCAAAAGACAGAGAACTAGGTGCATGTCAGCTCGCTTAGTTTGGAATTCGGATCTCCATGGAAGCGAGGTAACATCGCGTGACCGTCATGATTCGCTCTGTTGTTTGAGGTGCCACAGCCGGACGTGAGTATGCAAATCACAAGATTCTGGCAGCTGCCTCTATTTCGTAACAAATATTCATGCTCATGGATTAGCAGCCAACCCCTTTCACATTTCGTTGGGAAATTGGCTGAAGACCAAATGATCTTCTTGTTGTCTTTTCTGATTTACACTGTGTATTTTAGTATGAATTTTTCAGTGGTGGCGCTTTCATTAAGCCATCTCAGGCACTGCCTCACCAAATTTTAGAGGCCAATTCAACATCTTCTCAAAACTATTTGGTGACCTTAAGCTGTCCCAAAACTGCATGTTTACGGCATATTTCAACTTATCTAGATCTACGCCGGTTATAAAAACGCTGCAATTTTCTGTTAATTTTTCCGCAATAGCATGTACATGGCATATCACTATTTTAGTTGCATTTTGCTTTGAAATAATTCAGAAAAAACATAACCATGCCACACACACACACACACACACAAACATCAGCCTAAGGTATGCTTGAACCAGCCTAAGCCAAAGTGTTTGGCTAGATGTCCTGACCAGGAATCGACTCTTTGGGCGCAGTCGCTTGACATCACCACCTCTACTAGAAACTGATGAATGCCAACGTTTGTGACGTCGATACGAGTGGGCAGGACACGTGACTCATAGACCTGGAAGTCAGTTGAATACTTCATTCGTTTGAGAGCACGTGAAAAGACCAGTATGCACAGCCATACATCCGCCTGGATGGCGAGGTCCCGTGCCACTGCCTAAGTTGCCGTAAAGGGCTGGCGCCGTCATTGATGTTTGCACGCATCTATGCACGTCTACATTTTAAGTATTTTTTCTGCACAAACACCGCAGAATGACGGTGTGCGTCTACCATACCAAATCATGCCAATTCTAAATCGACAAGCATGATCCACAGCTATGCAGCGTACTGGATGTCCTCGTGCGTTTCCACAAGAGTTACCGCGCAGCCATCCTTCACGTATACCCGGTTGTTTGTTTTTAATCCTGGAACGCCTGATGACTGTTATTGGATCCGGCTGACTAAGGTCACAGATGAGGTAGCGTCACCGTGGGTACACACCGCCGGCTCTTCAGAAGAGGACCTTAACATTGTTTGAGCTGACTGCAGCCGGCCCATGGCCATGTGTGGCCGGTGTCGGTTCCGCCTGAGACGCGCCGGCTCCGGGCCACTCGGCAGCCTCCGCGGATCCAGACCACGAGACAATTTAGAGTGAGAGCTGCCCGCGCCACGGGTGAACACCCACCCAATATGGCGGCCTCTTGCGGCAGACAACACGGCATGTCACCGACTCGTCGCCAGTGACACTCACTGGCACGCCGTGACGCACGCCACGGCTGGCCGGTGGACCGTCCGTCGGGTCAGGTCGGACCGGGTCGGGCCGACCGGCAGCCCCACCGTGCGGGGCCAGGCGCATCGGCCACCGGATGCGGTGACTCACGCGCCAGTCGACCGGACCCCGGTCGACCGGCGCGTGACCGGGGTCCGGTCGACCGGGCCCCGCTGCTCTGCAACATACCGCGCACCGGCCGGCCGCCCGCAAAAACCGCCGCCGCCCTCTCCTGCCCGCCGATTGTGCTGCCCAAGTCCGACTGACGTCCTTCGAGACAATCCCCCGTTTTTGCGGCGGCTGGCCGCACTGCCGCAGCGTGCGCGCTTTCGGCCGTGGGGACACCGCCGTGCGCCACGGTGGGTCGTGCGAGCACCGTAGTGCAGCGCAGTGGATTCATGGTGCCTCACAGTGCCTGCCGCGACGGGCTGTAAGCGTATCTCGAGGCTCTGGCCGATGGCAGAACCTATGATTCGGCTCACTCCCTGGTTGCGAAGCACCCACAGGAACGGTACAGAGCAAGCGTCCCAAGCGCCGTTCATCCCAAGGTTACAATAGAAAGGGCGCACGAACATGAACAAGCTACTCAGTCAGATTCGACGACTGACAAGAGTGCATTCCGGGATGGCCCTGACTGACGCATCCATACCCGCAAGCGCTCAATTTAGTAGGAGAAGTTGGGCGTTTGGCCAAGTCGCCCAACGCGATGGGCTTCGCTCCGCCTGAGGCGCTGAGGTGACTGTACTGAGCTGAGCTGAGCCCATTAGCCGCTCGCCGTCAGTCCACGACACGTCCACACAGGCCAGCGGGTCCTTTCCTACGTCGAAGCAAAAGTGGCCACTAGGTCATTGACGGTTGTGAGACTCGCGTGTAAGTTTTTGGCCTTTTTCGTCCCCGTGGCTCATCCCTCGACATGCAGGAAGTTCCCTAATTTTCGTGGGGTCGTGCATCTTTAACGGTGCCATTGAAAACCTGGTCATGTCTGATTCACAAACTGCCTTGAGACACCCGACTCTCCCTTGTGGCTAGAAGAGGGTCGTTGGTCACTGTCCTGCCTTCGTCCTCACACTTTTGTAAACGATTTTATCCTTTTACAAATGTCTGCGTCAATATCCGTGCTTACGCAACATGATGACTGCGGTCGTCCTGACTGTTCAGCCCAGGATGTGTTCCAGAGAACGGCTGGTTCTCCGAGGCTTGGTACCGAGATGAGATTGCTTCATGTAAACCCTTTTGGGCGTGCTCGACAGGATTAAGCGATGATCTGCCGTTTAATCACGTGATCAAGCGGCTCCACGGCAGCGAGGACGTCACGACCATTTCCAGCGACCGAATCTGGAAGCCTTGACATGAGCAAGTGCGGCCTTACGCTTCTGCCTTTTTGGTATTATGACTCCTTGTTATGGAAATAACTGCCATTATTACGGCCGACTGCCAGAAGCTAAGTGCTATTGTGGCAACCTGCCAATATTTTGCCAAAAGGTGCTCATCTAACACAGATATGTACGCGTATCAATTAGAACAGTGTGTCACGTCTTCGATTGATTACACGAGACAGTTCATTAAATCCCCTTATCTCATCTCGGTGCCAAGCACACATCCTCACAACATATCCTAATGATCGGTAGCTATCGCCGTATCTCGTGATCTCATAATGATAACCAGCATCTCGTGGCTCTTGGTATCCTGAAGGTCAGATAGTTTCAACATCAATGCCGAAAAACCTGCATGTGAAGGCCTTTCGTGCCCATTCTGAGATACCGAGCGACCACTGGAATATACTATAAGAATTATTTATAACTGATACCGAGCCGACCCCATGGCCGATATTCAGCCGATAGACGGTATCAAACCGAGCTAATGCGTAGGAAACATACAATAATACTTGACCTTTCAAGGTAGTTCTCGTGGCTACGGGTGAGTTATAGCCTCTCGTGAATATTAAATATTGCACCCGGCGTGTTGAGAATCGGTTATTTTCGGCTGAACAGTTAGTAGTGCTTAAAATCCGTTTGAACACGGGCATTTTAAGGACACACGCATCCAAGGGAGTTTCCGCAGCTGTTGGGGAGCGTTGGCTGGGAGCGCCGCTGCCGGGCGGCCTCTGCGCAGACCGGTACTCACGCTGCCCAGCACGACCGGCAGGAACTCGCTGTAGGTGATGTGCTGCAGCTCGGCGCCGACCACGCGGCGTGCCTCCTGGAACAGCTGCTCGTCCGTCCAGTGCCGGTTCATGGCGGCCAGCTCCAGCGCTGCGGACAGGGGCCGAGTCACCTACAGACATTCTCCGGCGGCGAACAGGGACCGAGTCACCCCAGGCATCCAGCGCTGCGAACAGGGGCCGAGTCACCCACCGACATCCTGCGCGGCGGACAGGGGCCGAGTCACCCATGATCTCTGGCGGCGGACAGGGAGCCGTGCCATCCATAGACCTCCGGCGGCTGGGGCGTCGACAACAGCTGCGGGCTGAGGCACGCGCTCTCGGTTGACAGTTATCACTCGGAGAGCTGGACCTTGGCTATCTGAGCTTTCTCCTTTCCTCTCTATTTTCCGATGAGTGCCTCCAGAACTCAGGGGCTTGGCTAAACCGAACTCATGGGACCTGATTGTTGACTTCGAGTCGGTTTGAGGTAAGATTAATAAGCCGGTCGTTACCTTCCTTCAAGAGGAACTCAGATTCTCTGTAAAAAATATTCTGACCGATTTCAATTTCATTTCGCCTCCACCGATTTCAGCCGTATGCCACCAGCGTTTTACTCCGGTATCGTTCTAAGTATTGATAGCCCGCGCGGATTCGTTGAGAATCTTGGCTACTTTGACGAAAGATCCCATCAGGCTCCGGTACCATGCATACAGTACAAGCGCGGTGTGTGGAAATCGTCACGAAACACCGCTATTCATAATTCAATTCGGTGATAGCAAACGATCCATGTAAATACAGATGAAGTAAGACTGTCGGACGCTTAAATAGGTCTAAACGTCGTCGGAAGCTTGAGTCAAATATTCCCAGCATTTACTTCGTAATGCCTACTTCGAGAGGGCTTGGCTGACGTTCATGTCCGTCTGTCGTGTGAAGTTTGTCCATGCAAATCCCGGATTGAGGAAATCCGTTGCCTGGGAACTGCTTGCACAATCTCGCACGAAACAAAGCACACAAAGGCCCGCACTATCCGAATGGCATCGTTGAGGACGCACGTCGCCCAGCGTATTACAACGGCATTATGGCATGAAACAGCAACATTTGCGTCATGCTTCGTTGTGAGCTGAACGTAATGGCGAACTCAAAGCTCAAGAGCTATCCAAACTCCTTGAATATTTAATCCTAAATTCTCGGATGTATTTTCAACTTTCTTCAGCATGCCCGCCAATGTCCACAACCAGCCACAGAGCTCCATGAGCCGCCTAGGCTTTCCTCAGGTGTCACGCCACCTGCCGACTTAATCCGTCAGGTGGGTGTCCAGAGCCTTTGTGTTCGTCCAGGACCTGCCACACGGCAACCAGAACCATGCTGGGCGGCACTGAGTGCCTTGAGCTTGGTTTCCACGCGCCGTCTAAAAGCCCGTTTAGCTTCGTCAGCGACGTCGTCGACCAAGGAGCAAACCAATCAGCGGCGACGGCCAGGCAATTCCCGCCATTTCATTTTGACGAATGGCCGGAGCCGACGGACGTCAGCGGGCATGCACAAACGCGACTGGGACCAGACTGGTGTTGGCCGTGCCGCGGCTCGGCCGGCGACGTCACGGCCGCGCCACCGGCCAGCGCCGGCGGCCCGGGGAGCGGCGGTGGCGGCCGGCCCCGGCAGCGGCGGCGGTGGCCGGGGCGTCGCCGGCTCCGGCCCGGCAGCCGCGGCCGCTTGTGCAACACAGCTGTCTGACCCAGCGCCGGCGGCGGTCCAGCTGTCCGAGCCGGGACGGGTGTCGGCTGGGGAGCCGGGCCTGGCGGCGCCCCACCCGCCCCACCTCTGGTAAGACTGGGAGCAGTCGGACGCGAGGTGGGCTTAGCCAGCTTTCCGGGGCTGGCTGAGCGCGGTAGCCGCGCACCGAAAGGATACCGCCGACCCCAACGTCTGAGCTGGGGTCAAGCTGGACCAGAATCAGGCGGAAAGGGAAAGCAAATAGAAAGACTGCCAGGCGGACGTGCCGAGGGTATTATCCCACTACAGCGCTTAGATGTGATTAGGCAATGCCACAGGACCGTTTTTGAGAGCTGAGAATTAGGGCTTTGACTTGTTTGATTACCTCTTTTGCGGTAATATAATCCTGCACGCGGCATGGCATCCGCATGCCACGATGTCGCTTTCGTTTCCGTTCATTATGATTAAGCAAACTAATGCCATTAGCAAAAAGCGCCCATCTCATCCACTGGCATTCACGTGAATACATTTGTAGTGCTGCTGGTGCTCAAGCACTGCATTATTTCAAAAGAGCCATCAAGTGATGCGATGCGATGAATAAAGTTTTGCTCCCTACCCCTTTGTTGTACTCAAGACATTGCAATGGAGGAATTTGGCCCACGACCACTATGTTAGATTTCCAAATGCAGTGAGCTGTCGGACCTGTTGGACCTGCCGCTGTATGGCGGTAAGCTGGCAACTGACCGGGAGTTGCGGCACAGTCTCGACGGCAGTGTCGGGGCAGATCGTGTGACACAAAACAGGTCCTGCCCCAGCCCTGCCTGGCAATGCGACTGAGGCCGCCATTGTCCGTTGAACTGTCATGATATTACCAGGCTATTGACTTCAAGACGCAAACAAGACACTACCAGGCTACCGACTCCAAGACGCAAGCAAGACACTACCAAGCTATTGACTTCAAGACGCAAACAAGACACTACCAGGCTACTGACTCCAAGACGCAAACAAGACACTACCAGGCTACTGACTCCGAGACGCAAACAAGACACTACCAGGCTATTGACTTCAAGACGCAAACAACAAGACAACCACCATGCTATTGACTCCAAGACGCAAACAAGACACTACCAGACTACTGGCCTCAGACGCAAACAGCAAGGCACTACCAGGCTATTGACTTCAGGACGCAAACAAGACACTACCAGCCTGCTGACTCCAAGACGCAAAGAAGACACTACAGGCTATTGACTTGAAGACGCAAACAACAAGACACTTCCAGGCTATTGACTTTCAGACGCAAGCAACAAGCACATCTTAGCATGTACCGGCATACTCATAACCCCAAACGTCTCGTGTAAACCACCCGAATGCAATTCCGGCAGCAACATTAGCACTCAAGTGTGGGAGTAGAACAGCACCTAGCCAGCCGGGCCTCTGACCGGCGGCCAGCACCGCGGGCATCGCGTGCTGGCTGGTCGTGTCCTGAACACCCGGCTGGGCGCCCGGGATCGGGGTCGGAGGGTCAGGGCGCCGCGCCGGCCCGGTCACTCACCGACTCGGTTGTGCTCCCGGGCGAAGAGCGTGTGCATGGCGCCCAGGGCGGCGTGCTCGTTGACACGGACGTCTCCCGAACGGAAGCAGCTGAAACGGCAGGACGGTCAGGCGGGCGGCAAGTGTTGCCAGGGTAGGTCGGCGGCACATGTCTGGTGTTGCGAGCTGTCTTTCACATTATGTGGAGAATGGCGCATTTGCATATACAACGGGCCTTCTCAAAAGTGAAACGCGATATCAACGCTCTTCTCTAAGGCAAATGACGCAATCGCCCATCCTTTCGTTAAAAAGTGACCTTCGCAAACTACTAAGACTCCGAACTGTTTGAGAGTCACGCACATGCTGCTGTAAATAGTGGGTGTGTTCATTAATGCATTACCGGTTCATGCTTAGCACTGTCCGCCTCCGGGCGCATTTGCAACGGAGACAAAAAGGCCCATGCCATTGTTTCACTGCCCACGCCAAGTCGACATCAAGCTCAGAAGAGAAAGGTTATGACACCGTTGAATTCTGAGTAAGACTTCTCCAACGTAGCCTTGCTAATGCTGATCCTGACACTAGCTTAGAGGCTTAACGATGAATGTTACGGAGAACGAATTCGCACTGTTATCTCCTCTACTATACGAAAATGTCCCAGCTGCGTTCCGCTTGGGGTAGAACAGGTCCCAGGACCAGGCCCTCGGGTGCTGCAGGTCCAAGGGTCGTTACGCGTCCAATCCAGCACCGCGCTCGGCGCTCGTCTTTACTCGCAAATCTAACGCGACAAAATAACGGCTTCGCGACGTCAAATTGCGTGGCAATAGTCAGATGGATAACTATGTCAAACATCAATGCGGACACGGATTGTGCGGACATAAAGCCCCGTCGGTATGGGCGTCACCTCCGCGTCAACGGGAGCGGATTTACCACCGCGCCCCACCGGCGCGTGCTGTGCCATGCCGCCCCACACGTGCTCCGTGCCATTGGCGGCTTGGACGACATCCTCACAGTCGGCCGGCACTGAAAGTCGTGCTGAGAAGGCAAATCCGCATCCTGCCCAGTCGCGACGGTAAAATTGCACCGTAGGAATTCACGCCGTGGAAATACCGCGAGCGGTACCCATGGGCATGGGTGGGGCTGAGAGGCGCTGGCTGGAAGTGGCAGGTGGCTGGCCACCTCGTGTTGGCCGCGCGGCGGGTGGCTCGCTGTGGCATGCTGGCCGTACTCTCACCTGAGCGAAGGGTGCGGCTTGCAGTCGAGCTGCGTCGGGTCAGCCGACAGGAGGCCCTTGGAGCCCGACGGACCCGGCTGCATCTTGAGAAGACCCTTCTTGAACTGGCGGATCTCGTCATTCTCCTCCTTGCTGCTGCCGTAGATGACCGAGCCGTCCAGGAAGGAGGTCACCTGGTTGATCTGCTCGCGGGGTCCTGTGAGCGCCGGCCAGCTGGGCTCGTCACGGGGGCTGGACGAACGGGGCGCTGCGGCGGCGTGGCATGTTTCTCCGCCGCCTCCAGCGCCCAGTTGGGCAACGCCGCGCCGTTAAGACACCGTCGCCAGCTCTGAGCAACGCTTCCGCCCATCGACCGCTGATAAACGACAAGTCGGAGAGAGGTGGGGTGCAGGAGAGGCGGGAGACACTGGCGTGGGAGAGAGCACGGGAGGGACTGGGGCAACGGCAGGAGGAAAAAACAAACATGTGAAGAATCAAAGAGAAGAAATAACAGTGGGACAGAATACGCCGCTAAAAAGAGAGAGAATGACAGAAGGAAGATTTGCTGGAAAAGAGAGCGAGGGAGGGAGGGAGGAAGGGAGTGGGGGGGGAGGGGATTAAGGGAGGGGAGGGAGGGAGAAGAGAGGGAGATGGAAAGAAAGAGAGAGAGAGAGAGAGAGAGAGAGAGAGAGATAGAGAGAGAGAGAGAGAGAGAGAGAGAGAGAGAGAGAGAGAGAGAGAGAGAGGAGAGAGAGAGAGAGAGAGAGAGAGAGAGAGAGACGTGGAGAAACCGTGGCCGTGGGATACGGACGCCGCTGAGAACGGCACATGGCACTCGATCGGGTGTCTGCGTTCGTGATTGCGGTAAGCCAATCATTGCTCAAGTGGAACGAAGCGGACGTGATCGCGATTGCTGAAATAATCGGATGTTACTATCCCAATTGGTCCTTTCATAAAAGTGCACAACAGCGGATTTCAAGGCCCTTTCTTGCTATCTTATTCCCTTGCAGCTCAACAGCATTCATCAGCCACCACGTGAATATGATAAAGAAGGGAAAGCTAGCTTTTACTTTGAAACTACGGTTATTCGTTGAGATCAACTAGCAATCTATTTAATTCAGTAAGATAGCCATTTATTGCCCTCTGGCCCTCACACCCTTTCATTTCGAATACCAGCACGAGCGCATCCACTTTCCCCTGTTCGGCATCAGGCCACCTGACACAGCTGTCCCCTGGACCCTGTCTGATCCTGTGGCCGACGCGGCAGCCCAGTTGGCAGGCGGTGTGTGACGCGCGGCGTCCGCACGTCCCGAGCGCGCCACGTACCGAGCGTGCAGCCGGTGCGCGGCGCCACGCCCGAGCGCACGTACTCCTGACAGCGCTGCTTCAATCCGGCCGTAGAACGGGTCGCTCTCCTAGATCAGGATGGGGTAGCACTCGGGGTGGAAGTTGCCAGCTCGACGTCGCAGCACTTGAGCCGCTGGCCCGATGAAAGCCTGGTGGGCGGCGCGGCGGCGGCGGTTTAGGGGCGGCCGGTCGCGACCCCGCGGTCCGCGCCCGTCACTGGGTCAGTGTCAAGGTCGCGTGCTCGGACGGGCGCCCGACGGACCGGCGGCCGGCCTGCGCCGCACCCGCAGAGCAGTGGTTAAGGCGAGGTCAGGGCGCCCGGGGCCGGCTGCCGTCGTGCTGCGGCCGGGCCCGGTCGATTGGCGAGCGGCAATGCGGCTGTCAAGTGGGCCGCTCTCGCCTGGGCCGGGTGCTCTACTGACCAGCTTCCCGGATCGTTTATCTCTCCCCACTGTCTCCCCAGAGCGTTTAGCGCGACGGCGTTCATTGGCGGAGGCCCGCCCAGCCAGCACGGGAGGGCGCTCACGACTGGCAATAATAGATGACGGGGCGAGTTGCGGGCTGTAATCGAACGACGATAAATGGCGTCTGGCTTCAAGCCGACGAGCACCGCCGGGTGACGTCACCAAACCAGAACTGGAGCTATCGAATGTCATGTGGTGTGGCACCGGTTGCGCAAACCTAACTCCATGATCGACAACTGTGGCTTTTCCCACGCCAGAGGATTAGTGTGATGAAAGCAACACTTCGCAAACTCGAGCGCACTCGGCGTGGAAACCAAAGCGACGTCTTCCATCACAGCCGTCGTAAACCTGTCAGCGCGTTCGCGGCGTATCCAGGCATGTCAGAATATGTCAACCAGGCAACTGCGACCGGCTGCTGTCGAGTGGAAAAGTGACGGAACCGAGTCGACCACAGTAATCGCGCATAGCATGCCACCGGAAAGTTGCTCAAACGCTCGTATCTCGCACAGTGTCAACGCGCTGTAAAACATGCGTGCCAGCGAAACCCGCGGTTTTCGGTTGCAGA